GATGCGGCACTCACATCCGACCCCCTCTGCTCGCAGCTGGCTCCGGACAAGGGGCAGCCGGAGGCGGTCGCGGAGGACGCGCCGGAGCGGGGCCGGGGGACAGACGGACGCTCCAGCCCGGCCAGCCCAGCCCCCAGCCCCTCGGGGGGGTGTCCCAGCCCCTGCAGGACCCACAGCGAGACCTACAAGCGCCTCTTCTCCAGCTTCTACTCCAAAGGGAACCATCCCATCATGTCCCCGCTGGCCAAGAAGAAGCTGCTGGCGCAGGTGAGCAAGGCCGAGTCCTTGCACTGCCACAAACGCCTCTGCCCCGAGGGCCGGCGGGCACCGAGCGACAGCGGCCCCGAGCCGGCCCGGCCGGGCAGCGGCCCCAGCCTGGCTGAGCAGAGGAGCCCGGAGCCGTCGGGAGCTCCGGACAGAGCTCCGAGCGAGGGGAGCGAGGCATCCCAGGGAGGCAGAGACAGCCAGGGCTGCCCGCGGGCCGAGGACGGGGGCCCGGCCCCCGCCGTGTTCACCGGCTACTTCCACGCCTACCGCAGCGAGGGGCTGCAGCCCGGATGCCCCCCGCTCTGGGGGTATTTCTCCAACCTGAAGGATTTTTTGGAGCCGCCCTCCGCCTTGCCGGTGCGGCCCGGGGAGCCCGAGCAGCCCCAGGAGCTGCGGAGCAAAGCGGCGCGGCCGTGGGAGGGCAGGGCCGCCGCTGTCCGGGCCTGCTGGGTGCCCCCCGGGGCCACCTTCGGCCCCGCCGGGCACAGCCGCGACGAGGAGGAGGAGGATGAGGATGATGAGGAGGACGAGGAGCCCTTTGGCCCCGCTGCCAAGCCACGCGCCGTGTCCCCCTTGGCCAAGGCGGGCAGGGACGGGGGGACACGCTCGCCGGGCGGCCACCAAGGGCTGGCCAAACCCAAGGCCGTGGTGGCCACTCCGGGCTTCGCCGCGCCGCCGCCGCCGGACGCATTCCCGGGAGCCGCTCTGCACTTCCCGGGCGGCTTCGGGAGCCCCCAGGAGCAGCTGAAAACGCGGGGCGTGCCGGTGGCCCCGGCGCTGTCCCTGAACCCCCTGGTGATCCCGGCTTTCCCCAGCCCTTTGGTGGTGTCCTCGGAGCTGTGCCGGCCGCTGGCCACCGGCCGCTTCCCCGCGTCCTTCGGGGGGAATTCGCCACGGCCGCGGCCGTACCCTGCGGCTCCGTGGCACGGGCAGCGCTCCTGCGGTTCCCCGCACGTCCCGCACCACGCCAGGCCCTAGCGCTGCCATCCCGCGGGTGACAGCGAGGGGACAATCCGGACTGCGCCGTTTTTATTCCCCATCTCAGAGCTGTTTGTGGCCGCGCTGCCGGCGCCCCACGGTTCTCTATATTTTCTATATATCCACACACAAATCTATAAAAAAAGGGAGCAAAACCAGTGCTGGAGGTTTCTGTTCATGCCGGGGGAGAGTTGTGCCCGTCCTGCCGTGCCCTGGGCCCCCACACCCGAATTTGGGGTTTGTGCTGCCTCCATGCCAGGCTCCGGAGGTTTTCAGAAGCCTGGAAAGGGGAATAAACCTTCCTGGCTGGTCCCCACCTGGCACTTTGGGGGGTCCTTGATTTCTGGGGCTAGGGCACTGTCCCTGAACACTCTGAGAACTCATTCCGTGGGGAAAGAGGAGCTTTTCCACCTCAGTTTTGGGGGAATCGCAGCAATTCTGTGGAGCAGCCTCGTGTCCAGGTGCTTTCTGCCTCCAGGTCCTTTTTGCTGCCAGGTCCTTTTTGCATCCAGGTGCTCCACTGGACTGTTCCAGACCATCCCAGGTCTCTGTGGGAGCTCCAGGCCTTGCTCTCCCCGTGGCAGCTGCTCCCCACTCACAGGGACAGCAGGAAGGGCAGAGGGACAAGGGCCCTTCCTTGTCCCCAGGATTGTGACAGCTTTGGGGGGAGCGGGAGCTGTGAATCAGCATGGAAGGAACACCTGGAAGGGCCAAGTTTAGGGACACAAATTGGGAATATCTGGCCCCAGGCAAGGACCCCCTCTTAGGGAGACCCAAAGCACTCGTGGATCCTCCACAGGATCAGCTGCACCGCGAGAGCTTCCCTGCCCCCAGAGCCTGGCTGGAGCCACAGGGCTCCAGCTGTCCCAGCCCAGGAGCGAGGCCAGCAGAGGTGCCACAGCCTGAGGCTGTCCCAGCCCCTCTGCAGCAGCACAGCCCCGAGGTCAGGCCTGGAAAAGGAGAGTTGGGGCGCTGGGACACACACACAGCCCTGGAGCTGATCCTGGCTACTGTCACCTCCATCTCCAAGAGGAGGTTCTGTGGTTGGTGGGACCCCACCAGGAACCCCTCCTGTTCGAGGTCAACCCACAGCCCTCCCTGCAGGGAATTGTGCTGGGCTGAGCCTGGATGGCTGGCAAAGCAAAACCTCAATGGTTTTTAGCCCAGAAGTGCAGGGAAAAGGGAAAGGTTCTGCAGGGCTGGGGGTGCTGACCAAGCTCAGCATCCTCAGAACTGCTCCTTGGCACCAGGTGGTGTGAGGGGGTGACAGAAGCAGAGGGACAGTCCTGAAAGGGAGGAGGAATCAGCTGAGCCTTCTCTCCAGAGGAGGGAATCCACATGGACAAGAAACTGAGAAGGGAATGCTCAGGGTCTGCAGCTTCCTCCTGAGGGATAGCTCTGATCTCTGCTCCCAGTGACAGGGACAGCTCAGGCTGGAGCTCGGCTAGGGAGGGTCAGGCTGGATTTTAGGAAAGGTTCTGCCCCCAGGAAATGGGCACGGCCCCGAGGCTGCCAGAGCTCAGGATTTTGGATTTTGGGATGTCTGTGCAGGACCCAGGCTGGATTGATGATCCCTGTGGGTCCCTTCCCACTCAGGAGTTTCCAGGATTCTCTGATTATTTCAGGAAGCTGCCAAGTATGGATCCTTCCCTGCTCTGTCCCTTCATCTCTTCACCACTCACAAAATCCACCCTCAACAAAAGCCACCCCCAGAGTGGCCACAGCCACAAACTCAGTCCAAAAGCACAACAGAATTTAAAAAAAAAAATTAAAAAAGAAGGAAGTTTTTATTAAACAGCAACAAACCCAGAAAAACACCCCCCACCCTTCCCACTCCCAGGAATTCTGGGGGTCCCCACAGCTCCCAGGACAGTGTGGCTGCTGCTGGCCTTGTCCCTGCAGTGTCCCTGCAGTGTGCCAGGCCCCTCCCGGGGTCAGGATGAGCGTCCTGGAGGTGCCTTGCAGGACAGCTGCCACCTCGGGGTGCCCAGGCTGGCACAGGGAGGCTGCAGGGGCACAGCCTCACCAATGCCACACCCGGCGAGTGCTGCCAGCCTGGCCTCCCACAGCACAGGGGCTCCGAGGCACTCACTGCGGACAAGGGGACAAGGTCAGAGCTCTGGGGCCCACCCTGGGCTGCAGAACCTCCACCCTGAGCCTGGGTCATCCCCAGAGTGAGACCCCAGCACCGACCCTGGCACTGGCACAGCCCAGGCAGGGAAACCACAACGCCCAAACTGGCATTGATCAACTGCCAGAGCACCCAGACCCCCGGGATCCAGCACCCAAACTGCCAGAGCACCCAGACCCCCAGGATCCAACACCCAAACTTGCACTAATTCACTGGCACAACACACAGATCCCCAAGATGCAGCAGCCAAACTAGCACAGCTCCACAGCACACAGATCCTGGGGGATCCAGCACCCAAACTGGGACTGATCCACTGCCATAGCACCCAGATCCCCAGGATCCAGCACAGCTCCATTCCCAGCCCACCCAGGTCCCCAGGGAAATTCCTCTCCCCACTCAGATCTCCCAGAAGTTCCTCTCTTCCTGCAGTGTCTGAGTTTCTCCCCCAACAGGTCCCTCCCTGGGGCAGGGTGCTGTGGGGTTCCTGTCCAGCCCTCGAGCTCCCTGGCAGTGCCCAAGGCCAGGCTGGGCAGGGCTTGGAGCACCTGGGACAAGGGAAGGTGTCTCTGCCCATGGATGGGCTTTTCCAGCCAACTCACTCCAGGATGCTGTGACCTTTTCCAGCAAGGACAGGCCCCCACAGGTCAGACCTGCCCTGACTGGACAGGCTGTGGCTGAAACGTGTGTCTCTGGGAGTGGAGAGGGGGAGAGTTCAAGAGGGGAAAGGAATTCCTGCCTCCAAGGGCTGGACTCGGAGCTCTCCTCACACCATCCTCACCCAAACTCAGCCCCAGCTCCAGGCCTGGCTGTGAGAGCCTCCCCAGGACACAGAGGGGTCCTCATGCTCAGGGGACATGCCACAAGGCCCAACCCCCCCGGATCAGGAAAAGACAAACCCAGTTTTACTCCGATGCTCAGCTACCAGCCACACAAACCCTCAGGTTTCTCCTCACCCTACTCCCACAGGAATCCCGGGGAGATTTCTCCTGTGCTGCCCACGGGGGAAGGAAATGGAAATGCCCACTCCAAAGTGCAGCTCAGCCCCAAATTTAAAGCCCAGCTTCCTGCACAGGCCCAGCAGAGCCCTCAGCTGGAATTCCAAAGGGAATCTCAGCTCTGGCTGCTGCTGAGCAAGCCAGGCACAAAGCCCTTGGGGAACTGGGGCCGTTCCAGGGTTACGTAACCCTGCTGATGTCAGGGCTATAATTAGGAACAAAACCAGCAGCTGCCCCATTTCCTGCCAGCAGAGCTTCCAGTTTGTTTTTGGAGCAGCTCTGGCATGATTAAAGCCCTGCCCTGAACTCACAAGCTCAATTGGAAGGGAAAGTCAGGATCCATATCTAGCTCTGCCTGGAAAAATTAACCTGTTCATGAACCCACTCTCCCCTTGGAGTCCAGCTATGCCCATTTCCATCCCTTTTCCTGGGTGTCCAGAGGGTTTAAACGTGACAGGGACACAAAGGGAAGCACAGCAGCTCTGAGGGGGCACCAAAAAGCACCAAAGCTGCCTCTAACACAGAATTTCAGACCCACACAAGTGACTCTCCCAGTGGCCTGAGGGTCACCAGCTCAGTGTTCCAAGCTCTGCCTTAGCTCTGAGCTCAACGACTGCAAGAAACTCAGGAAAGTCAAAGGAGGAATGATGTTCCCAAACCCTGAGATTTAGCCTGGACTCTGCCTGGGAACTGCTGGGAATGCTGGATGCAGAGTCAGCTCTGAGGCAACACGAGACAAATCACCCTGAGACAGTGGGAGGATTCCCTGCCTGGTGGGGTGGCACTGGATGGGAGTTAAGGTCCCTTTCAGCCCAAATCATCCAACGATTCCATGGCAAAAAGGCCAATCAAACCTGAACAGACACAACAATGACACTGTCCTGGCTCCTGGCAGCCCCTCCTCACACCCAGCACAGCCCTCACACCCTGCAGGTGGAACAGGAACCCAGCACTGCCACACCCAGCAGGGCCAGGAGCAGCCACGGCCACGCTGCCGAGGAAAGGTGTCCCCCAAAAGGTGTCCCCCTTACCTGAGGGCCCTGGGGCTGCTCCTCCAGCTGGGGCTGCACCGAGCCCAGGCTGGGCTGGCTCAGGGTGCCCACACGGCCGGGCTGTCCCCGCAGTGTCACCGTGATGGTGGTCGGGGCCTTCAGGCCTGCAGAGCACACATAGAAAACATCCCTGAGGCCACCTCCAAACCAGGCTGGAGCTTCCCCTCGGAGGGGCTGCTCCAGAAGCAGCAGCCCACGGAGCAGGAGGAGCTTTGGGAACACTCCCTGCCCTCCCTGCTGCTCACCTGCGGCCTGGTTGGAGATCTGGGCCAGTCCTGGCAGGCTGCTGGCCAGCTTGGCCAGGCCCCCGTTGGTCAGCAGCTGGTGGATGGCCGTGGGTTTGCCGCTGGCCGAGGCTCCCAGGGCCAGCGAGGTGGCCACGGGGATGGTGCGGACGACGGCGCCGGTGTCCGTGGTGATGGCAGCCAGGCCCTGCAGGGCTGTAGGCGCCTTCCCAGCCGAGCTCTGCAAGGACAGACAATAGCCTTGAGCTCCTGCGGGGACAGGGGATGCTGGGATGGCCACTCCCCTCGCCAGCAGAGGCCTTTGGAGTTTCCACGCTTGTCCCTGGCCACTGGCAGGGCTCAGTCCTGGTGGAGTTGTCTCTCCCAGCCTGCACATTTCAGTTCAGCCTGAAGCTCAGAGTGGGACAAAATGACCACCCTGGGGGCACCTCACACTGAAAGGCTGCCCCAGAGGTGCCAGGTATGGGATCCTTTTCCCAGGATATCACAGGGAATGATCAGTGATCCCTCAGTCTGTTCTCCAGCTCATCAGTTTGGGGCTGGCTGCACAGAAACAGCTTCTCACAGACCCCTTTTACAGGCCTCTGGAACGCCTGGGCTCTGGAGAGCCCACCCCTCATCTCCTCTGGTCCAAAGGGCCTATCCAGGCTCCCTCTGCCTCCAAAAACTTCCTCTCCCCCCCAGCTGCCCTGTGGGACCGCCAGAGGCTGCTCACCTGCACAGGTGAGGCAGCAGCGGCCGCATTGCCAGGGAGGCTGCAGGACTTGGTGCCGATGTCCTGCAGGCTGAAGCTCAGCCCCTGGAGCAGGCTGCTGGCAGAGGCTGCTCCTGAAAACCCAGAGAACAGCAAAGTCAGCCTGGGTGGATCCTCCAGCACCAAATTCTGGCGTGTGCCAGGGCTGCAGAGCTGTTCTTCAACGAGCAGCACCCTGAGGATCCTCCCACAGCTCGTTTTATGGGATCGTGGAATATCCAGAGTGGAAAGGGACTCAGTGGGGCCATCCAATCCAGCCCCTGGCTTTGCACAGGGGCCCCAAAATCCCACCCTGGGGAGCTCTGGCAGCCCTGCACAGACACCCCAAAATCCAAATGTTCCTGGAGCTCTGGCAGCCTCGGGGCTGTGTCCATTCCCTGGGCAGTGCCCAGCACCCTCTGGGGGCAGAACCTTTCCCAAAACTCACCCCAAACCCCCCCAGCCCAGTTTCAGAAGGGTTCCTGTGGAACATGGGAGGTTTTGGTGTTTTGAGGCCTCGTTAACCACAAAAGCCACCATTCCCACAGCACAACTCCACAAAGCCCAGCTCAGCCAGGCCGGGGGAGGCCAGGAGAGACTGCCCCAAGTGCTGTGACCCTGGCTGAGCTTTCCCCGGCTGGGATGGGTACCTGGCAGGGCAGTGGCCGGCTGGGCTGGCAGGCCGTGGGTGCTGCTGGCCACCAGCCGGCTCTGCAGGGCGTGGAAGGCGCTGGGGGCGGAGCTGCTGGGGATCGAGGGCTGAGCGGGGCTCAGCGAAGCCTCTGCACCTGAGCTCGGCCTAAAAGGGAAGGGAGAGACCCCAGTGAGGGCTGGAAGTGCTCTGGGCAGGCAGGGCCGGCTCTGGCACTGTCCCCAGCAGCCAGGGCTGCGGGAGGGGGAGCTGGGCTGCACAACCACAGCGAGGGAATCACAGCGGGGTGGGGAAGGTTGGAGAGTCTTAATGATCATCAGTTCCAAGAGGAGTTTCCCTGTGTCCAGGGCAGCAGCCAAGGAGCACAGAGAAATCCATGGATTTCCAAACTGGGAGAGAGCTTGGGAGCTGTGTGCACCTCCTGGGGTCACCACAGCAGGGCACTGTCCCTGTCCAAAACCCACTTTTCATTTAAAACCAGCTCTTCTTCCTCTCCTGTCCCAGATCATAGGATCCTGGAATGCCTTGAGTTGGAAAGGGCCTTAAAGCCCATCCAGTGCCATCAGCAGGGACACCTCCCACTGTCCCAGGCCACTCTGAGCCCTGTCCAACACTTCCAGGGATTCATGGCTCCTTTGGGAATGGGATCAGGCAGAGCCTAGCCCCCCATAGCTTGAATTAGGAAGGAAAAAAGGTGTCAACATGAGATTTATTCCCCAACAGGAAACCCTGTGCACAGTTCATGAGCTGCTTTGAGGCTCATTTCTACTGCCCTTGCAACAAAAATATTATTTTTATTGCAAAGGTGCCAGAGGGAAGGATTAAACACAGAATTTCTTGCCAAAGCCACCACAAAGACAGAGATAAACCAACCTGAGTTTGGGAACACACACCAGACACAACCACAGCCACAGCACCTCCCCTCCTGCCCACTCCCAGCTGGCACAGAGTTTTCGGGAGCCCCAGGGTCTCCCTCACACCAGAAAATTCCAGTGGGGAGCAAGACACTGGAAATCTCTGCCCTGTCAGAAAGACCCCCAGAAAAATTCCCACTCACTTGGGGGTGGAGAGCAGCCCCGAGAGCTCCTTGGTGCTGGACACGGCCTGGCCGAGGGGCAGCGGCTTCCCAGAGACAACTGCAAAACAAAACCAAAAGGACAACGCTGAGTTCCTGCCCCCCACAAATCCTCCGGGATTCCTCTGGGATCCCCCTCTCTCCAAGTACCCACAGGGGGCTCATCCAGCTCCCAGAGCATCTTCTCCAGGAATCCCAACCCGAGGCACTGCGCTGGAGACCGGGAGGAGCAAAATCCAGTTAAAACACTTGAGGAATCAGGGAAGGAATCACCTCCCAAAATCCATCAGGAACCTCAGGCCCTTGTCAACAAATGCAAATATATCTCCTAAAGGTTCTCTCCACTAATCCCCTCCTGTTCCATGCCTGCCTCATGGATTGCTGGGATCTGGGTGATTTTGTAAGGATTCTTAGTTAAACACACTTTACAAAATACACAGGGATGCGACAAGTCACGGAATTTGTTTATTGCAGCACTGGGGGTACAACTGCATTCCTTCCTCGTGCATTCCTCCTGCTCACACCCGGCAAAGAGGCAATTCTCGTTTGGGTTCATGTTTACTTCTGCAATTCATTTCCTTTCTGTGAAAAGAAGTAAAGTTTGGAAAATTAAAAATAAAAATAAAAAAAAATTAAGGGAAGAAAAAAAAAAAAGGGATTCTGGAAACCAGAGGTTTTCAAAGCTGCCAGAAGACCAAATGAAACCTTGCAGAAGGATGTGGATTTGTGTCTTGTCACAGAGCTGTTGACCTGGCAGAGAGGTGCTTGGAAAGCAGCAGAGTTGTGTCCCAGCTTTGAAAACCTCAGATTCCCGAGCAGAACAGAGCCTTTGATTCCATAAATTCCATAAGCAGAGACTGCTCTGAGGAGCTGGGGCTCTGGCACGAGGAAGGTGCTGAGTTCTGAGGGACACGGGACAGCAGCCAGAGCTTTGGGATGCTCTTGTGAAGGCTCAGGGGAGGAAGATGGAGCCCATCACCTCTTCCTGGGAATTTTCCAGGATTCAGAGGCAGGATGGCAGCTGGAATTTGCTTGGGTGTGAATCCCAGACTCCAGGCCCCCGGGGGATTAGCAGAGCTCGGCTGGATCGGGGATTTGGGGTGCAAAAAACTCTTCCAGAGGGAGGAACTTCACCAAGATCCCGCAGGCAGCAGCGGGAAAAATGCAGAGCAAGGGGTGCAGCAGGACCAGCAGCACCAGCACCTTGCTCCCAGCAGCACCAGCA